GATAGAGCATGAAATATTTTTACATATGATAGATGCCTTTCGTGAGGCCGCAAGAGAAAAACTTCCCGGAACTCCTAACACGGAAATATTAGCAGAACTAGATGCAAGGCTCCAGTGCATAAGCGAACGATGCGTAAACACATATCCAGGACTTGTATTGCCCGTACGCACAGGTAGTGATTTCTTTTCCAGAGAAGGTAGATTCGAGGCGAAGCAGAATCGCTCCGTGGTGACCGTGGTCATGTTCGTGGTAGTGAAGGGTAGAGCAGGGAAGCGGTAGACGAAGTATTTCTGCAAGCTTATGAAATTTTATATGACACTTTTTCGGAGGGTATCGCACACAGTTGCTTCTCTCGATTACTCTGACGAATTGTTAGGTGATTTCATGTATTATGTGAAAACTTACATGGACCGATATCAAGCATCACGATGGAAATTGTCAAAGATGCATGATCTCAACAAGTTAAGGGCATGCGTGGAGCGGTCAGGGCTCCCGGACACATTCGCATCCGATGTATGGAAGCATCATCATATTACATTTTGCAAAGATCGTTATCGATCATCAAATCGCAGACAGGCTACAACGCAGATGGTAGACCATGTCCGTCGATCTATCGCTTTGCAAGACGAAACAGAATGTATACGTCGACAAAAGATCAGGGAAACCGAGAACTGGTTTGCTGTCAGCAATGCCGAGACAAGTGGAACAAACACCTTGTCTGCAAGAAACAAAGCCACACTGCGTTTGAAATGATTTTCTTTACAGAATGTCTCTGCAAACGCTAGTGAAGGCAGGAGTGAAGAGGATGCATTCACTCTCGAGAACATATCGTATAGAGAGAATTTCAGAGCTGCGTTATCAGTATTTTTCAACGAAAACGAATGTCATCCCCCCACGGACGAGACAGTGATCAAAACAAGGACGCACCTTGCAATTGCATGCACCGACGATGGAAGTATCAGGGGATCAATGGTACAAATAGCCAAAGCTTCACCACGGTTTCACGGCCGGCCTGTCCACAACGATGTATGTGTCAGAGTTGTAGAAGGAGAGCTGTGGTATGCATCAGTGGGTATGTTTTTTGTCGTATAAGGTCAGCGAGGTCAAGAGGTTCACACATTCGAGTGTGCATATGTACACTGGTATAAAGAAATCAGGAACGAGCCCTGTGTCACTATGACATGCAAGGTTGTGAAGTGGGAGAAAGCAAATGATCGACAGCTCAGCAGCGTAATTTCTACGGATACTATAATCGACACTGCACACATAGTTCCATATTTCAAGAAGCCCCAATGGGGAACAGGCCGATTTGCTGTGCGAAAGGAAGACCAATTCTACGTTAATAAGTACACACTCTAACGGATTTTTATGGGTCATCGTATGCCTGAAGCTATAACTCTCATAACTGAGACAATTTGGCTTTCTGCACGGTCCTACATTTCCATATCGGTGCACAAACTTGCTAACGAAGACAGACATCGATTCCGCTTTTAATTATCCTCACACTCTTACAATTACTTGACATGCTTACTTTTTTATTGCACCAGAAGGAAAAAAATCGGGAAACATTGTCAATAGACAATACGTACGAACTTGTGTAGAAAGAAAAATGTCGACTGCTCTCTCTCTCTCTCTCTCTCTCTCTCTCTCTCTCTCACATCCCGGTGTTTGCACGGCGAAACTTCAGACAATCCGAAAATGGTGGTCGGCAGGTGCGTCATTCTATTGTCTACAACCTTATCAATGTGTGTCAAATATTAGCGCACCTGCCTACCCCAGGAAAGCTTCCAAGGGAACTGGCCCCAGAGAAACGTCGACTGCTTTTTTTTTTTTTTTTTTTTTTTTTTTTTTTTTTTTTTTTTTTTT